TGGCAATCCTATAGTATGGTAGAAGAGAAGCCAGGAAGAAGCGTGTTACAGCTGGTTTCCAGGCAGGTCTTCTGGTCCCCCCAAGCTTTTCTTCCCTAAAACTTCCAAATGCTAAAAAAAGACTGCAGTAAATTTCTTGAAACAAGATAAATTGTTTTCATGTTTCTCCATCAGTGAAATGACATGTGGTCTCTCTTTGTAATGTCGATTTGTCAAGTGCCTCCACTGCCACCGCCCCCTGCTTTGTAGAGTTGGTTAAAATATTGTATATAGTGGGTGCTTGGTAATTGCAGATGCAGAAAGCATGTAGTTTGAGAGGTGTTTGGAACAAAGGAGGGTGAGCCCGAAGAAGACACTAATTTCATAAACCAAAATTTTTTTAAGAAGCATGTCCATATGATAGACAGTCATTGTCATGTGAGAAAAAGAGAAAAGATATTTTGGTCACCATTAGGGTGTGAGACTTTGCACTACCACCCCTCCCAATTCAAATGCCTATACAAAAGCTATTTTCTGATACGCATTTAGCCTTAAACAACTACAAAGAAAGCATTGTATTTTCTGATTCTGGAAGTAGACCTTAAATTAGTATACTAGTTCATGCTTGAAACATCTCACCTGGTCTGTGTATTTATGGAGCTTTTACCCTGAGGTCTTGGTTGTCCAGGTTTAATTAGTGGGTATTCCATGAATGTCATTAATACTAACAATTAAAAGGATTAGCAGAAGTGTCTGTTCAGTAAGAAATTGAATGAATTCAGCTGGTGTAGATCCTTAGCGTTGTACTGATTGCACTGATTTCCAATTAGTGAGGACATAGCCTGGTTTTAATATGTAAGTATTGCAGAAGAGTTGGAGGGAGCCTACTTAGCTTGATTCAAATCATGCTTAAAAGTTACTCAAGTAGATTAGTATAATCTGTTTCCATCACTGAGATAGGTACTACCTCTTCTTTCTGCTGCTCGCACACATCCAAGCTGTCCCATTACAGCCGTAAGCTTAGAACCAAAGAAGTCAATGTATCTTACTGGCTAGTTAATGCTCTGAAAAGGATCGAAATTTGTTAATGAGGTGAAATGAACACCCAAAGGTAAAATGCTTTCTTGACTAGTTACTCAATACTTTTTTTGACAGAACTCAGTTTACTGGGCTTCTTGATGTCACTGTAAAAGTAGTCCAAGAAGAAACAGGAGTCCCAATGAAAATTCCCATGAGAGACTGTTGCGTAGTACCCAATACTTGAAAAATAAGACAGCCTAATATCTCAGACTGAGCCAGGTTAACCAAAGCTACAAATCAGTGTTACAAGTCTTGGTCATGTATGTGCCAGTCACCTTCCTGAAACACACTTCTTTGTCATCGCTTCTAAATAATGATTTTATTATTTCACTACATTTAAAAAGTATCTGCAATTAGCGTACATATGACAGTAGAGAACAATATGTACGATAATTTGCAAGGAAGGGAAGATGGTACAATTTTTTTCTCTTCAGTTTTATTGACTTTGTAAATTTGAAATGGCTTTTCTCCCTTGTATAGTTCATTGGTCTCCTGTTACCGTATGGGTTGTATACCCAGTAAAGAAAGGAAAACACTTCGTGCCTCTCCAGGAAAATGGAATTGTCAAAATAAGTTGTTTTTATTAAATTGACTGTATTGAAGTTGACATTTTTCCTGTAAACCATCCTTGCTTCCTCTTAGTGGCTGTGCCCAAAAAAAGTAGTTGTGACAGTATGGTGCATTTCCTTGCAGCAGACATAAATCTTTCCTGTTTTTTGTTGGTATTTTTATGTAAGAACCTTTCTTCCCAGGGCTTTTTCCCTAGAGCTACATGGATGCCTCATTAAGGCCTGTTTCTTGTTGATTTGTTGGGTGGGATGTGCTGGCATCACCAACTGAGACTCTAGGAGCAGCTCTCTACCCCCACCCAAGGCTGTGCTGTTGGGTCATTTATTCTGTTTTTGAGTGTATTCACTTCCCAGGGGATAACCCTTCAATAATCCTCTTCATCATGTGTACTTTTTTAGGTCTGTTCTTGACAAGAGACCTTAACTGAAGTAAGTAAATCTGCAAGTGTGACTCACGCCACCTGAATTTCTCTTTATTAGGTCTTCCCAGCTTTCCCAGCGAGTCATGACAGACCCACCACCGCTGGGATGATTGATGGGAATGCCTCCATCAAGTCGCTAATAAATGTGTATTGACTGTTTGCATATTACTGTAGAAGAAGCACTTGGAGAGAGAAATTCATGGGCTGGGGAGGGGGGCTGATGTAATACAAAGGCTGAGATGCTCATTTTGCAGCAAGGGGAGGGTCCTTATTCCCTGCTGTTTTACAGACCCGGGGCCAAGCCTGGGCTGTACCTTTTCCCATATATTTAACCTTGCCTTTCCCTTTTCTAATTCTGTCCCACTGCTTCTCATTATTTCACTTGTTCCTTCTGCAACAAAGATTTTGTGTCTTGGTTTCTTCCCCCTCCAAATAGCTGTGGGCTACTATGTAAAACCTTCAGGAGGAGGAGGACTGGGGAAATACCATTCCAGTGCACGGCTTCAGGTGCCTCTTGAAACATGCTCCATAATACTAATATCTCTTCCGTGCAGCTGGCTTGCTTTCTTTTCTCCACCAGTTTACCTGTCTGTGCGCAGGACGTGCACTGGAAGCTGCATCCAAGGTCGTACTGCTTTGTGGCTGGGACCTTGGGTGAGAAAATAGCAGCATTGGTTCCTGTGTGGGTTGGGACTTGTGGAAGGTGGCTTCTGAGCATGAGCAGGAGTTTTGCTTGGGCTCCCACTTTGGGTCCTGAATCCCTACCTAAAAGCAGCACCTACTTTTTTTCCAGGGCTGACTGTTCATTTCATACTTATGATGATGGCGCACATACCAGTGAGCTCATCTAGTGTTGTTCGTTCTTAGTGTGCAGATCTTTCATTCACTCTTTCGTAGAAGTCTAAAACAGTTTTGAGTTTAAAAGTCTATGTTGTGGTATGTAACACTGCTTCCTTGTAAATTCTGAATGTAGGGGTTTTGTGTCAGCTCTAGAGTTGGATGGGGCTCTGAGCAGCCTGGTCTTGTCAAACACATCTGCTCATTGCAGGGGGGTTGGACTGGATGACCTTTAAAGGTCCCTTCCAACCCAAACCATTCTATGATTCTATGATCTTGTGTGCTTTAAATTTTGCTTCCTAAGTAGTGTTTGGTAAGGTCAGCTGCTTTGCCTCCGTGCTGATGTCTCTTATTATTTCAGTAAATAAAAATTCAGAACTAACAGAAGTGTTTTCCTCCTTCCTTTCTGTCCAGTGCAGAGTGTGTTGTCTCAGGTGATTCAGGTGGAGTCCACTAACAGAAAAGACATAAAATGCTTACGCAGGCAGCGATGATACCCATTGCTATTAGTGTAAATGCTTTGATGGTAAACTTCAGCTCTTGAGTGTTGTGAACCAGTCTGAAACTATGAAGGGCCTGATAGGGGATATCGGGTAGGTTCTTGCCTGTCTGCCTGCTGCATTATGCACCTTCTGTAAAGAGCCTAGAGCTTGTCTTTTCTGGCTAGATGAGCTAGATGATTGCGTGGATATTTTTTTTTAGGTTGTTTTGTTTTGTTTTTACAAGGAGAAATGTGGCCAGGCACTCACTGATCATGCGGTGTACAAGTGAAAACCTGGTGAACAAAACATAGAGCTCCACCATCCCATTTATATGCCAGATGATTTTCTTTTCCTGCTTACCTGTTATTCCTGTGTAAGATAGGCTTTGTGGTGGTGTCTCCAAAATTGAACTATAAGACCTTTATTTTAAGACAGGAATTCCAGATGTGTTTGGAGACTGGGCAAATCAGTCTTTTTCTAGGAAGTGTCCCATTAAAACTCAAATCCTTAGAAGATTTTATTTTATTCTTTGGTGCTGAAATAAACTCAGTAATGAAGGTAGTTTAAAACCTGACATACATGCAGAGCTCAAAAACACTTTAACAGCCCTTCGTCACTGATCTCAGACAACAACTGTCCATAGCTGGAGCAGGGAGGACATCTGGGCTGATGCAGACCTCAAAACAGATGCAGAGCCTTCTGCCAGGTGGGAACAACAGGAATTGGCTTTTTGGGTGCATATGCCTCCATTTAGCCTCCTAAAGAAAGTAACCCTGAAATTACATTCAGAATAGTTGCTAATTAAAGCTCCATTACAATGTTAGTCACATTATGCTGATGTGCCATATGGACCATTTAAAAATTGGAAATGCTTGAAATAAATTGTTCTTGAAAATGTTGTTTGATAAAACACATATTCAAAGTTTCCTCATTTAATGTGTTAACTCTTTGGATAGTCTAAACCAGAGGAGATACTTGGCAGTGCCACTCCAAGTAGCGTGCACTTTGGGAGTAATAGCACAGTTGGTTTTCCTACCTTCTAGTGTCAGGTCTGCCTCTGTGAAGTTACTTTCACTGTACGAAACTATAATAGCATGTGAACCTGTTGCCATGGGTTACTGCTTGCGTATTTCCAAAACCATTTACTCTGCAATCAATATAGGGTCTGAATAAGTTTTTTAACATTATGTTACATTTAAATTACATTACATTTTTTTTAAAATACTGTATTAAACTTTGTACCTTTGCCTCCTAGTGAATCCTTGAGCAGAATGTGTATGTTCTTACAATATGTGTTTTATTTATATCATATATAACTTAATGTAGAACCAAAAGAGGAAGGAAATTTATGAAGACTACACCACAGAAGAGATGGGGGAGGGAGAATGAAAGGAAGAAAAGCTATTACGTTCTGCCTGTGGCATTTTCAACCAAGCAAACACCAGGCACTGAAATCCATGGTGGGATTGGGTTTTGGTGGTTTGTTTTGGGTTGGTTTTTTTTTTTTTTCTTTTTTCCCAGTGTAGGAGATTTAACAAGAGTGCCCAAGTTTTGAAAAGTAATGGGAGGGGAAACTCGTTAGTGTGATTGAGATGGTGAGCACATTTGCAAAAACGAAGTGTGAGCTGTGCATCCTGTTTGGTAACAAGGAAGCGGTAAAGTTCTGCGAGCCGCTCTGTTCGTTAACACGTCTGATAGGGCTGTAGAAATACAGAATAGAAGCCTGTCATTTTTCTTTATCATGCAGCAGCCTGCTTTGGTGTAAGAAACACTTCAGGACTGCACCTGTGCAATTTATAAAGGCTGGTGAAAGAATGCATACTCCTCATTCTGCATTGAGCACTTGGATTTTGTTCCCAGTTTAGGATAAAGAAGATGGAGATTTATCCTCCCATTTTTTCCACTCTCTTTTATTAGTACCTCCTAAGCCTGTCCATCTCAAACCTGGGCAGGAAAGAATTCCTCCTGCACCTTCTCGGCCTTTGCCAGCTGATCCCAAGTCGTCGAGGAGCTTAGTGCCTGGAGAGGAAGAAATACCAATATCAGCAGGAGTCAACACACTCATTGAGAAATTTGAAAGTATTAGGTAAATATGGCTTTGCGGGATCTGCTCTAATCTCCCTGTTCTGCATTTTTAACTTAGACTATAATAATAGAAAACATTAATTGTAGTTGTCATGTAGAATCTCCTCTTGGGATGATTTCTACCAGAAGTGCAGAACTTGGCTGACTACATAATGATTTTTCTTTTTTTTAATAAAAGCATATATTTCCATGACTTTTAGTTTGTAACATACAGTTGTTCTTAAGGAGTTTAAGACCTACAGAATTTGGTAAGTGTTCTACCAGAAACAAGTAGCCCAGAGTCTGCTTTCAGTAAGTTGACTTGATGTTGGGATTGGTCTTTGCATTATAGAAACTTGATTATTGTGATATGAAATAATTGAATTTTCTGTCTAAGATTCAATAAATGTCAGACATACTGTTAGCTTGCTGCTTGGAGGCAGGGGAGAGCTAAATTGCAATGTACTGTGAAACCATGTCATGTAGAACAGCGTTTTCCTCTGAAATTTATATATGAGGCATTAAATAGGATAAAATATATGTATTTTGCTGTAAAACCAGCTCATTTTACAAACACATGAAAGTTCTCTCTGAAGACTAAATCTGCCTGATGGAGCTAAGCGATTTTTTTTTTCATAAAGCGGGAAATGGAGACAGAGACACTGTACTGTGCCTTGGAGTGTATTATCACCTGGGTGAATCTGGTAAGGTGTCTTTGAGAAGAAAAAGTAGTGCCTTCTTATGTTTCATAAACATCCTCTCTCTGGCAGAAAATACCTTGCCCCAAAGGCTTTGTTCTGTTGAAGAACATGAGTTCCTGTTTAAATGAACCCACAACCAAATGCTTCTTTTAAAAGATGATTCCTCCCTCCCCAACCCTTCAAACCAGACTGTTCTTCAACACAATGTGGGGGCTATTAAAAGTCCAGGATTCTAGTGGTGCCATTTCAGTAAAACTTATGGTGTGTTTTTATCAGAAATTGTTGAGTGAATATTATTACAGCAATGTGCACACACTTGCCTCCTAGGATTGTCAGGGGGCTGCAAGAAATACAACTTGAATCAAATGATAATCAGGCCTTCTCTCTTTTGGGGCACTTTTGAAACCTCTGAGTGTTAATAGGAATGACTGTGGTGCTTTCTCTTCACCTGCAGGCAACCTGTACATATTCTTCAAAGAAACCAGCTAAATTTAGCTCTTAAGATGGAACCTGGCCTGGACTCATCCAAACAACCGAGGTCGTGTGACTGTGATGTGGTAGCTTCCAGCAGCTCTTCCACAAATGAAAAAAGTGAACCAGATGGAAACGAGCCAGACGTACCATGCAGCGCAGATCTATCTAACACAGACATAATGAAAATTAAAGAGCTAAGTATAGGCGATAACAAAAGCCATGAAGACTGTACTGCTGTGAATGTGAGCAAAGAGCCCTCTGGAGAGCTTAGCAATAAAGACTCAACTGCAGAACTGAACAGTAATGGTAAAATTCCCAACAGAGACAGTGGCATTGACAGTCCTTCTTGTAGCGTGGCAGGGGAATCTTTACCTAGTGAAGAAGGTGCAGAGCATAAGAAGCCCAGCATGGCTGGGAACCCAGGGGAGATGGAACCTGAAAAAAAGGGCACCAAACCTGTGGAGCAGAAGAGAGACTCCACACAGGATGAAGACAGTGACATTGATGAAGGAAGCAGCGAGGAACAAGAGACAGCAGAAGTGCCAAAGTTAGAGTATTTGGATGTAAACAAGGTAAGGTATTTTGTTGGTTACTATGAAGTGCTCTGAAACCAGTTCCTGCCTCTGGCCAGAGATCCCTTGCATCACTTTCATACGTTGGGTTTTTTGTTTGGTTTTATGACAAAGGATCATGACAGTCATTATAATTTCCTGCTTGATGCAGGTCATAACTTGGTCCTGACCTAGACAGTATCTTTTAGAAAGGTTCCCAGTCTTGATTTAAAAGGTTTCATATAGGAGAATCCATCATAGCCAGAGGTAAATTGTTAAAATTTAAGTGTTTTTGTAGGTAAAGACTTGCACCTTATGTTTCTTGTTTGGATTTGTCTAGGTTTAGCTTCTAGTTGTTAGATCATGTTATTCTCATGTTATTTCCATGATATGCAGGGGGCTAATTGGATAGTGCATCTTGCAGGGTCAGGGCTTTGCATCCTGGAAGGACATGCTTGATGGAAATCTCTTCTGACAGTAATTTGTTGGGTTTTTGGGTTTGTTTTTTTTTTTTTTTTACACAAAGCCTGTGCTTCTATTTGCATGACTACTTTTGATTGCAAAGAAGTTGTTTTGAGGGTAGTTACATCAAATTACTCTTCAGGAAACTGTAGGTAGAAGAGGTTTTCCTTGAATCCAGAGTAATGTAGTCCAAGTTGTCATGTATTTGCTGCAGCTGTATAAGGCTAATGACAGATTCCTTTAATTACCTGTTTATCATGACAGTTATTTTTAGAAATAGTGATAATAGAATGGGCTTCATTTTTCCAGAAGAAGAAAACAGAAGACACTTTGAGCAAAATGTCTGCAAAATATTCCACTTTTCGTTTGGTGGGGTTTTTTTGTTTGTGTTTGGGGGTGTTTCAGGTTTTTTTCTTTTTTCTTTTTCCAGCCCCAGCCATCATGACAGTAAAGTTAATATACTGGATTTTTGGTTTTTTAAAGACTGTGATGAGCATTAGCAACTAGTGAACTGTAGCATTCACACCTCAGTTTGTGCAAATTGGGTGGTTCTGTTGAAATCACCAAATATGCCCTGACCTGTGTATGTCAAGAGCTTGTCCCTTGGGAAGGGTGGCAGTTAAAACTCATTCACTAGATTCGGGGTCAAATCGGCCAATGACTGTTGAAGAGTGATGAAAATTGCATGTGGGTATGTGGTATGCAAGAAGTTCTGTCTCTCGGAGCTGACAAGTACAGTTTCAGAGTACAACTAATGCTCTGTGGTGTCCCCTTTTTTCCCCAAGAAGAGAAGACAGCCTGATGAGGCAAACATTCCAACAGGAAGGTATGAAAAAGCCCCAGACTTTCTTTCGTGAGTGCTTTGCTTTATGCTGCTGTTCTTCCTGCTGCAGCCTGGTGTGACTGGATTCACCTACCATTCATGCTGTTCAGATGCTGCCTTTGTAGCCTGGGACTCTCCAGTACCTCATTGTCATGCTATTTCTTCTGCAAATTTGGTGAATGTCAGACCTTCCAGGTGCTAGAGCAAGGTTAGTCAGAGGGAAGTGGAAAGGACCCAGCAGTCTAGGAAGCAGTGACTGGTCTAGCTCTGTTTGGCCAAACCCAGCTGCCTTCTGTAGATGGGGAGGATGTGATCTCGTTCGCCTCTTTGCCAGTCTGTGGTCGCACCTGGCAGCTGATGTAGATTCAGGAGGAGGAACCCATCAGCCTGTCCCACCTCCTTGAGAGCCAGGGAGAACACCCTTGCCTTGGCACTGCATACATTGGATGTGGCTGCCTGGGCATGGAAGGCTGCAGTACGGATCACCTTGGGCTTGCGCAGGAGTAAATCCATGGCAATATAAGTCAGGGGATCCAGCAGGACTGCAGGGTCTGTACTGCCAAAGGAGACCTCTGTCTTTTATCTTGTATGCAAGAATTTAATGGAGCAGTCGGCAGGTAGCATCTTAGTGATGAAGACTCCAATTAACATCTATCTGTTAGCATCTATTAAGACAACATCTAATGCATCCATTGACATCTGGTGTCTCTTCAGTAGTCTGCGGGTGAAAGCTTGTTTACATCTCAAATGGGCAGCATTATCATCACAGTGCAAGGTTTCTCCCCTGCTGCTGTTTCCCTTGTGTATGTTTATACACACATACACACACGGTGAAATACTTTAATTATTTTATATTCATAATATATATGTATGTGCATGTGTGCAACTGAAACATTATTTAGAAGATTGTTTATTAGTTGCAACATGCCAGCAAGAAAATAATGTATTAAATCTTTAATCTGGTAATTAAATTTACTGTTTAGACTAGGAATGTAGTAACAAACCAACTGTGGCAAATCCAAGCAGAAGACTTTACTGTGTGATTAAGAAGTGCTTTGTTGACAAATACCAATGTTTTGTAAGACATCAGAGATTTGATGGCTGTTTTTTAAATCTTGTTCCTTAGATTAAGTATCCATATAGTATGAAATAATTGCTGATGAAATACAGAGTTATGAGGTCATACTTCTCTGTAGCATGCTTGGTGAATTTATAAATGTCATGGTTTAGCCCCAGCCAGCAACTAAGCACCACGCAGCCGCTCGCTCACTCCCCCTGCCCCAGTGGGATGGGGGAGAGAATCGGAGCAGTAAGAGTGAGAAACACTCCTGGGTTGAGATAAGAACAGTTTAATAATTGAAATAAAGTAAAATAGCAATGATAATAATAACAATACAATAATGATCATAATAATAATATACAAAGCAAGTGATGCACAATGCAATTGCTCACCACCTGCTGACCAATACCCAGACAGTTCCCGAGCAGCGATCGCTGCCCCCTGGCCAATCCCCCCAGTTTATATACTGAGCATGACGTCGTATGGTATGGAATAGCCCTTTGGTCAGTTTGGATCAACTATTCTGGCTGTGCCCCCTCCCAGTTTCTTGTGTGCCTGGCAGAGCATGGGAAGCTGAAAAGTCCTTGACTAGCATAAGCACTACTTAGCAACAACTAAAACATCAGTGTGTTATCAGCATTATCCTCATTCTAAATCCAAAACACAGCACTGTGCCTGCTGCTAGGAAGAAAATTAACTCTATCCCAGCTGAAACCAGGACAATAAAAGAGAGAGATCTCTAGAGGAAGATTTTTTTGGTTTGTTTTCTTGTGCTACTCTTCTGCCTGAAGTGCATTTATGTCATGCATTTCAGGTTCTCCCTTGGATTTTGAGTTGATTTCACCTTCCAAAAGGCATTTTTGACACTGACCAAGCTACACTAAGTTAGTTTGGTTTTGCAACCACGTGGAGCCGGAAGGCTTAGAGATTTGCTGTCTCTTCTGTAGTGTAGGGATTGTGCCTTCTTCTGGGGATGAGACATATGAAGCCAATTTGTGTGTTAGGTGTCCACATTATCCTCCTGGTCTGCCCTTTGATTCTGTTGCAGATTTGGGGCACTATGGACTAAGGGTTAGGGTAAAGGGCCATGGCTTCCAGCAAGGAGAGCCAGCACAATTTGAAGTTGATTTGTTCAGTGGTTATTCTTAGGCTGGAAGACAAAAACTGGTAATCTTCCAGAAAACAAGGTACCTGCCCGACTGGAAGGAAGAGACAAGAGTTCAGTTGGCAGCACCAGCTGCTGGCATGAGAGCTGGGGAGACCCCAGCTCTTCCAGAAAGCTTTGTCTCGGGAGCCAGCATCTTTTTCCTACTTCCCGCTTCCTAACCCTAGTACCAGGCTTTGCAGCTGCACGACGGAAGTAACTAGCACTTGCATTAAATATGCAAGTTTCCAGAAAGCTTTGTTATAGTTGGAGTAGGATGCATAAGAAGTACAGCTGCAGAATGATTTAATGATGGCTCACTAATGCCTATGATAATAAGTGAAGCTCATGAATAAACATAAGTAGGAAAAAAGAATCAGATTGGCTTTTTTCTTCTCTAATTTTCTACTTCGGATATCTCTCCATCCACCACCCGAGCTTTCACACATCCCATGGCTAATGAAGAAACATTGCCTGTATATGACTCGTATTGCTTTATTTAGTCTAAGTTCAGCTCTGCAGTGTGATGTGTCTTCCTTTGGGAGTCTGTAGCAAAGTCTAACTGGTCTCACTATTAGCACACAATTATTGGAATACGTTTTAAAATCTCAGGAGTGACTTACTGGGATTTCCAGTTATCTTTTATCAAAATGAAAATGAACAGGGGGAGCTTATTAGTTTTGATAATGTTTCAGACAATGTCAGGAGCTCCAAGAACTGAGGCATGTTAGCCTTAATGGTTATGAAAAAAAGAAATTATGTGAAAGTGAGACTGAGGGACTGTCATGCTCTGTAGTCACGTACCCAAGGCTTTTGCCAACTGCCTGGGAGCAACGGAGTAATACTTCTGAGATGGCTAACACTTCTTCATATCTTTTTATTAAGATATTTTTTACTAAGAGTAGTATGTACTCATTAGTAATCACCAAAAGCCTTTCTCTATCTGTCCTGCTTCCTGCTGGGTAAAAAGTAGTAATAATGAAGTTCTGCATGGGTCTCATACAGTCACTGACACACACTTCCATTCTGCCTGCACAAGGCTGGAATTTCACTTCTGATTTCATTGTGCAGTTTGTGTTGGAAAATCTGGCCTGCAGTCCTGCAACTCAGACCTTTGGGTAAGATTGTCTCCATGTACATTCTGAAAAAAATTTGCATAGGTCAATGTTTTAGTCATAATGTTGGTTAAGAAAAATGAGATACATTCTCATCATCTTTTTTTTTTTTTTTAAATACCCTAAGGAAAATGAGATCTCAATACAACAAAGAAGAAAACCAAGCATAGGGTAACTTTACATATTGTTTCCAGCATTTTTGAGTAGGAAGTTTTCTATAACCTTTCTGGGGCTTCCTGCATTCTTTGTAGGGGTGACTGGTGGGATTTAAAGCATAACCGTATACGATTTTAACCTAAGCCATATCCCAGCAGCTTTCTTGCAAGATTCACCAAAAGCTTCTTGTGATAGAGATGCTAACTGAATATGGTTGCGCACAACCAGTTGTATGAAAAACAGTCGCTGCAGGGTATTGCCCAAGTTTTCTCATATCAAGCCTTCGGTTTTTACTTTAAATTTTCATTTCAAATTTGCTTTTTGTGATACCCAGGTCAGTCTTTGCATCCGTGAATCTGTGGCCCAGGAGTGCTCGGCGGGCACCCAGCCGAGTCAGTGAGTGGGTTCGGCAGGAACTCGTGCCACTTAATTGCACAAATCAGCTCAGCATGTGCCATTCCCCAATTTGTATCTGGGATTGGGGTATTTGCAGTGCAAGCGTATTCCCACCACAGGTGTGAATCTGACCTTTATGAGAAGCTGGTTCTGTTTGTTTTCAGGCTGGCGTTTCTTTTTTCTTTAAAATGTTTTAAGGACAGCTAAAGCTGGAAATGAATTTTTGAACCTTCTGCAAAGAAGTGAAAGAGCATCGTGCGACTGCTGCTTCGAGCACTGGAGTGAGCTTCCTGTGGTCGTGAAGTCAACAGTTCTACCACTTCCCTTTTCTCATCTTTGTTGTCACCCCACCAGCTAAACTATTTTAACAAGACTCTGCAGTAGGTGTACAGTTGTACGGCTGTGGAGGACAGTCATAACATGCAGTGACCATGCTGAGCAGTCAGTCAGCAAGCTCATTGGGCAAAGCAGGAGTGCAATACATTTACAAGAATCAAACAGTCTAAAATGTATATAGGGTGGAACACTAGAAGTATTTTACATTTCTGTGTAATTTATGTGCCTCGTAAATGGCACATTGTTTTTCCAGGGCTTCATTAGTAAGGTTAAATATGCTTCAGTGGTGTGACTTAAAGACTTAAATAAGACTGTTACGTAAGGAATATAATCCACATTTGAGTTTACAAATTTGTTTTACTTTTCGTTTAGAAACATAGACAATGAAATATCTTGTTCATAGTGAACACTCACGCTTAGTTAAAGCTGTTCTGCCGTGGCACAAAATAAGGTTAGAAGAATGGGACTGCCTCACGTTTGATTAATCTACTATTTAATCTAAAATGTTATGTCCATTGAAAGGCAAATATGTTGCAAATTAGGCCAAAGAATATGCCTATCTCTGCCACTAGCAGAGACAGCAACTGAAGATAGAGTTACTCTTTAAAACTGAGCTCAAGATGAGAGCCTGTTCAGCCATTGTTTGGTATTTAAGCAGATGTCAGCAAGTTTTTGGAAATACAAACTGTATTGCAGATGGTTAAGGTCAGGAGGTTGAGAAGTGCCTGTGCTATGTAAAGATTTACTTCTGAGAACAAATGTATTTGGTTGGAAATAATTATTTTTCAATTTCTAAATTCAAACAAATCAAAAGATGCTGTTGGCGGCTGGCATGCTGGCCTGATTACGTCAGTGCCTTTCATTCAGGCACTCTTCTGCGCCCAGCAAAACTGGCAAATAAATTCTTTCCAAATGAGAGATCCTCGTAGTTACTGCAATTTGAATGGCAAGCAATGCATTTCATTATAAGCTGTAGTACATGGTATTTGCTTGTAACAAGTTCAAAACTTTGTTGTGCTGTTGTTTTTTTTTTTTTTCCTTTCCCCCTAAATATTAATGTATATCACTGTAGCAGGATATTGTGTAGCATATTAGAATATCTTAAAAGAGTATTTGAGTTTGCTTGAAGTAATTTGAGTAGCGGGGTAGGCAGAGTACCTGTCAAAGCTTTATTCATGGTGTGGTTGCCTGTCTCCAGGTTTGTGCCTAGGAAGAAAGGAATTGCTTTAAAGGAAGATTTATGCTGTTTCAAATCCAGAAAAGCTATTCACATTCCTTCAATTAATGCTTATATCACAGAACTGTGGGTGCTTCATGCTAAGCGGTACCTCATTTTGTCTTCACAGGTTAAATGTGGGTCTGTTTTGTTTGAATTCATGGCTAGCTTCGAAAAGTCTTTGAGGTCTTTCATTTGTATTGCAGTTTGCCTCAATGTGTGTGTGTGGGTATTTAAATTTTTCTCATCAACATTGTTTAGAAACAAAACAAGGTGATGTTGAACAAGCTTAAAGAGAGCATTTAATTGACATTTTTTAACAATCTGATGGTAGCCAGCAGGGTCATGTCTAGAAATGCCTGCCACAGACTAGCACACAGACACAGACATTTGGGATAGAAAGCGCTGTTACTGGTGAGGGGCCCAGATGCTTCCTGAACTAGAAACAGCCCTGCATGTTTAATAGAATTCAGCTGGACTTTTACTCCATGGATTTGTCCGGTCCTTTTGTGAACCTGCATGAAGGTTTACTGTCTGCAGTGACATGTTGTTTGAGGAAGCAGCTCTTGGTGTTGAAGCAGCACCTCAGTAATTTTATTTGATGTTCTTTAGTTTTCCCATGGAGGAAATAGTGAACAATTGCACCCAGTTGATGTTCTTTGTTCCATTAGTCATTTACACATCTCTCTGACCTCCCTTGTAGTTGTCTTTTTTTCTCCAGATCCAGCCCAGTAAAATTTACCTACATTCGATCATCTTTGCTGCCCCTTTTGGATGTTCATATTCCTGAAGACAAACCAGCCAGCCCTCAGTTTTGGTTCGGTTATATGTAAGCGTAGTGTTTAAAGTGTAGACCCTTAAAAAGGTATCTAGAGTTTGTCAGAAAGCTAAAGCCTTTCTGCTAATAATTGAAGTATTTTAAGTGCTTGGAGAGTGAAGAGTCTATGTAGCTTTTGGCTAAACAGTGAATAAAGTCAGTGCTTCATAACTGCATTCAAGTTTTTTGATTAGTCCTTTCTCATTTTATTTTTTTTAAATGAGCTTAATGAAAGACTTCACTCAGTGAAGCTGGGTTACATTGCCGAAAATTCTTTCCAGAGAATTGGCCATTGTTTAAAGCTGCACAAAGGTCTTAGGAATACGCCATAGAGAGTAATGCTGCAGTGGCCAGGGAGAGAAAACTGTGGCCAGACAGGTCTGGTTTCTAGTTTTCTTTACAGTCACAGGACCTGAATCCAAAAAGAGAACAGCTGATTTAGAGTTTAGTGCTTTAGTTACCAAATAGACTAGACATATTTCCAGATTTGGAGGATGTTTCTGGTTCTTTACAGAAAACTATAATGAACTAAAGTGGTGTCCTGACCAGCCATTGACTATTATTATTCTTAGAAAGCAAATAGCTTTAAAAATGTCTCTGGAGCAAACTGATCCTTTGATGAGGGATGCGGAGCAGATTCTCAAATGTGTTAACCTCCTTCACTTCAAGCTTCTCTACTGGCAGGGAATTTGGCCCACTGAGAAAATGGAAAAGAGAACAGTGATGAAACTTAGGTTTGTAGGAGCAGATGGATTGTGTTATTTGTAACTTTTTTTTTCAGTGTACAGAGCCTCAAAAGCTATTCAACATCGCAAATGAACTGCTCCATACAGAAGAAGCGTATGTTAAAAGACTCCATCTGTTGGACCAGGTAATTCAATTTTGAATAAACTATGCTTTCTTTTCTGTGAGCAGCAGTGATGTCTCCTGTTCATCCCCTAACTTACAGCCCACTAGTGTGAAAACGCTGCTTATAGGTGGGAGATGGAGTTTGCTTGCCAGGCTGCGTGCCATGGGTCCCAGAGGTGAGCTTTTGGCAAGTGGGTTGCCTGAGCTGGAACCCAAGGATAAGGATGCTGAAAAGAGGAATGGGTAAGCAGCAGCCAAAGATACAGACACCATCAGCATTTGGTTCCTCCCTGAGTGAGGAAATCACGGGGACGCTGAAGGCACTGAGAAATGATGAAATCCGTGATTGCTCCGTAATGTGCAAGAGGTTTGAGTTTTACTAAGATCAGGCCACGTGGGTCAGCCCTGTGCTCACAGCGAATTACTTTTTTTTACCCACCGTGTTTTGTAGCTGTTGTCCATCATGTTTACATGTGGGGATAAAGTAAAACTGGTAAGATGAGTCTGAACTTTCTTCCACATAAACACTGAGGTGAGGCTACATGGTTCAGGCATTTCTGTAACTATCGTAAAAAAAAAAACCAAACATGCACGTGCAGGAAAGAAGTAAAAATAAGGATCAGTCACATTGCTAACCAAGTGCTTTTTAAAAATGAGGGAAAAAAAAAGCAAAGAAAATGGTCACTCTGCTAGAAATCTTGTTAGAAGCTGTAACTTGCAGAGCCCTCTACACTCTGACTTTAGAACTTTTGGAAGACTTTCTGAAGTTTGCTTTGGATGAGTAGAGACTGTTTCAAGACCTTAGGAATCTAGGGAGTATCTTTCCCTTTTGTTCAGTACAGTGTAATTTTTCCCACAGAAAAACAAAATAATCACATAGTTTATTTTGCTTCATGTAGATAGGAGTAAGTGCTCTTCAGGGACTGGTTGTTCTTCAACTTGCACTCCCAAATGCAAGATGTCTGATCTTCTCAGTAGCTTCAGTCTTTTTTGACTTACCCCTCAGATTTTTCTAATATTACATCTATGGCCCATAGTCATAAATCTAACCCTAATTGACAGTGGCTTATGTTTTGTGAACCTCCTGAAAGACCCCAAGGACTGACTATCAGAAGTCAAAAATTGTAGCTGTCTTGTAAGGCAGTCAGCTTTGTAATATTGCAATCTAAATCCAATGTGTCTAGGATTGTTTTTTGTAAATATATGTTGGTACTGTCTTCTTGTCTCATGCAGGTTTTTTGCACTAAGTTGTCAGAAGCAGGTATTTCATCTGAAGTGATAACGGGCATCTTTTCAAATATTTCTTCCATTTATTGTTTCCATGGACAATTTCTTCTTCCTGAGCTCAAAACAAGGATTACACAAGAATGGTGGGTAACTGTCATTACAATTATTTTTAAAATAGGTTTTCAAGAAACTATAGCAACCATAAGGCCTAGTCTAATTCCAAAGTTTTTAATTGTTTAATGCAGTAGTTCACTTGCTATTTAATACATTAGTATGGAGTCTTTTAAGCATTTCTGAATACAGGAATAGGTCTGAGCACTCAAAATTTCTAGAGTACATTGTGAGAATGTTTTCAGTCCAAAGTATTGCCAGAGGTGTTTTCCTTACTGTATTTCCACTCTCCTATTATTGCAGTACTGTGAAATTGCAGTACTAGGAAGGAAGGAAATTGCTGATTTTGGCCCCGTATATTAAGTATTTTGGTCCCACTGTGATATATTAAAAAAATGCGGTTACTTCTCAAAGAAGGAAAATGCATCATGTCACAGACTAGACTTTGCATGCCATGTTGGAGACATTTTATATTTTCCTTAGTGAATTTTGTTATGGTTATATAAAATTTGATTTAATGTTAAAATTAGCCTTATAGCAGCAAACCAATGGAAAATCTGGACACACAAGATAGATGACTTCATATCTATAAATCTGCTTGTGTCTGTTATGCAACCACTTCTGTTGTTGAGCACCGCAGCATTGCACAATTTTTTATCCCAGAATTTGTTGGCCTTCTGTTCTAGGAGATAATAAGTATTTTTGGTTACAGTGCATATGCACGTTCTTTAAGAAAACAGATGTGCGTTGGTTTGGTTTTTTTTTCAGTGAGTAATAATGGTCAAAGACCAATTAAAATTTGGCAATTGTAATAACTTGTAGATGATGAAGAAATGCAGCACTAGGTAGAAAGGTTAACTGTAAGGCAGATCTAGGAATCTTGATTTGAGATGACACACTGGGTACAAAGAGTGTCCTGCAGTGGAAGGTGCAGACAGTGCTGTCACTGCACCTTTCCAGATGCTCTAAATGATGAAGACAAGACCAGAGTTCACATCTGTCTTGGCTGAGTTCAGTCTTCACATAGTTCATCAATGACCAGAAGGGAATAAATGACTCTCAGCACCTTTACACCTGACTTGCATTTACAGGGACAGCTGTAATAAACCGGGAGGAAAACTAGGGACTCTGGAAGTCAAAAGAGGACATAAGCTTGTTAAATGGCTAAAGGGGTCTTGTGTGGTCACACTGCAAGTTGCAAGTTCATCGGGAGAGAGAATTTGGGGGACAAATGGCTGGCGCTCTGCCTGGCTGTAAATTTGGAGGAGACCAAGATGTGTGGCTACCGCTGCTCCCAGCCTGAGGGCATCTCTAGATGAATATGTGTCTGGCCCCCTGGGAGCACCCAGCTGAACTGAGTGATCTCTTTGCATTAAAACCTCTTCAGATGTTTGGCTATGGTGGAAAAGATGATTTTTAAAAAATAAAAGTTTCCCACAAGATTTTTTCCCTAATTTTAACAATGTGTAGTCAGTTTGAATCTGATCTTCACTTAAGAGTGTGATGGTGGGGGAAGAAATATCATCCTTTGTACATCTAGATTAATGTTCAAGGTTTCATCTCGGGTACCATATAGATTACTTTAAACTAAACTTAGCCTGAAATATCTTGATTGCATATCTGTGTAAGTGCTTGTGCATGTGGGAGATGACTGTGAAAGTCTTAAGTTGTGTTTTCTCTCTGAAGTATTGATTTCCAGAGATTTCAGTACTTACCTGTCTCTTTCCCATAGGAACATCAACCCACGGCTAGGAGATATCCTACAGAAACTTGCTCCTTTTCTGAAGATGTATGGAGAATATGTAAAGAACTTCGACAGGGCAATGGACATGGTGAACACATGTATGCAGAGGTCCTCTCCATTCAAAGATGTGGTTCAGAACATACAGGTATGTTGCTAATTGGCATAATATGGCTTGGAGATCCTGATTTATTTGTGTGAGTTTATTTTTATCCAGTGCATGACACACAGTGTTTAGCTACAAGAAAATACTGCTCTAATACTAAAAATATACAAATTTAGTGGCAGTCCATTCTTTTTTGCTGTGTGACAGATTTTTCACATAGGTAGCTTTTTCTCCACTCATGTATTTAAGAGGAGTATCAGAAGTCACAGAATGATACTTCACCATTGGCCTGGCAATGCTGACTGCAAACATGTCCATTTATAAACTCTTTTTGATTTCTCTTCCTCATTACTAATTTCAATTGCTTTTTAATAAATACATTTTCATTCTGAGGTAGGTGTGTTTGAGTTTGGGCATGTCACTGACAGCATCTGCTCTTGGTCTCATTTTTCTGAGGCTCACGAAGTGGCACACAGCTCTTGGATCACAGCTCTGCAGGAGGATGCTTAGCATGGATTTTCATGTGTTTTCTCTTAATTACACAAAAAGCTGCGTGAGGAGGGGGGGGAGAGCTCTGCTTGTGCTGGCATAGCTGTAAAACATCTTTCTCCCCCTCAGGCCCTGGGCCAGCTGAAGGGATGCAGCAGGCTCCAGCACACTTGCAAGCATCCCTCCACAAGTGCTGGGAAAGCAAATATCGTCCTTTGGGAGGGGAGGACTGGCAGGGAGCAGGTTAAGCTGAGGAGGGAGCACAGCTGCCTGCCCTAAATGGGAGGATTGTGGCTGAGCCAGCTGTCAGGAATCAAGTAATCCCCCAGCAAGCTGGGAGAGGAGAGGCCCTGCACTGAGGGTGCGGAGGGTCAGGGCTGCCAGCCAGTGACTCAGAAGCTTGGAGAAGCAGGAACTGGGGAAGGTCCTCTCCTCCCAGGCTCTCTACATGGCCTTTTCTAAACATTTTTCTGCCTGAACACAGCCTGCTCTTACTGTGGTTCTGCACAGCAAGCACTGTAAAAAAAAAAAGGGTATAGGCATTTTGCTGTCTCCGTTTGTGCCAAGCTGCTGACTTGGCTTTCTGAAGTGTAAATCAGTTTGTGACTGTTTTCCCCACAGCACAGGCATCTGCCCACCCTAAAATTCATATCTCTCTTCTCGCCACCAAGCAAGTGATTTGTGTTAGCTGTCAGTCTGCAAAACTGGTCTGCAGCTGTCGAAACCATGGCTATTTCTGCTGTTGCTTGAGCAAAACACGTACAGGCAGTATGAACACAGGCAATGCATGTAGGGGATGCAATTCTGAAGCCTACTGATGACACTATTTCACCGTAGGTTATTCTAGCAGCAACATCACAACACCTTTTGCTTCTGTCAATGACCATAGCTGCAGGAGGCAATGATTTGACCCAGAATACTTAGTCCACTCCTCTGACCTATCTCTGTGCTATCAAAAGCCACCATCACTTTTCAAAATACCAGCTGAAGTCTGTTGTGATCCTGCAGTAATGCACTGTCCACCTAAGCTTAAGGCATTAACAATTATTAATTATGCTAAACTAAGGAAAATAGAAAACAAAATTCAAATGGTACTTATAAATGAATGACCGTGACTTATCAAGTTTACTTTAGGTGACCTTGAGATAAACATACTTTCTATTCAGTTCACACCCACCTACTGGGGCCAAACTTTGATAGTTGGTGAGTTTAGTAGGACTTTTCTTTTGTCAAATTTCTCCTTACGCCATCACATAAGTACTTTTTAATATATATTTCTGTGTTTTGGATTGTTACATGAATTAAGCACAGAATAAACATTTATCCTTCCTCTAGTAAAGTCATTTAAATTGCAGTGTAAACTCTGTAAACTTTTAAAAATTGCACAGCATTAAACTTTTCCTATTTGGAACACTTTATTTTGTCACTGCTGACTTTTTAGAGAGGGTACACTTGGCATGTAAATACAACTGACATGAACCTTTAAGTGACTTCCTCCTCTACTTCCATATTGCTGTTCAGTGTTAAGGTTCATCCTATTGCAGGAATAAAAAGACAATGGATAAGGCTATAGTAAGTGGATTTGGGAATATAAACCAAACGCTAATATGCAGTAGTGCGTTTCTGTGCCCCTTTTAGTTCCTCCTGGAATCTCTGATTCTTTTCATCACAGTTGTGTTTTCTGGGAATGTATTTTCCGGTGCTGTAAAACTGAGAGATAATAAATTCACTTCATCTCCTATAAACAGAAATATTGTTCACCCTGCTATACTGTGACAAGATATTTTTAAAAGCAAATTTACGTTTTTGAATTTCTGGAAGGATAGCTAGTATTTTTCTGTCAAACGTTCATCTCATTATCTCCAGGCTGTGCCTTGAAAATCGTGTGAGTCAGCAGTATGTCATAGGCTGTAATATTTGTGAGGAGAATTGCAAATACCTGAAACAAGCACCTGTCTCTGAGAAAAGCATGCTGAAATTAATGTGGTTGTTGAAGGGTTGCTTACACTAGAACAGACCAAGATGTGGCATTGCCCTCGTGCAACGCTACAGGCTTGGGGAAGAGTGGCTGGAAAGCTGCCTGGCCAAAAAGGACCTGGGGGCGTTGGTTGACAGCCGGCTGAACATGAGGCAGCAGTGTGCCCAGGTGGCCAAGAAGGCCAACAGCATCCTGGCTTATATTCAGAAATAGTGTGGCCAGCAGGAGCTGGGAAGCGATCGTCCCCCTGTACTCAGCACTGGTGAGGCCCCACCTGGAATACTGTGTCCAGTTTTGGGCCCGTCACTACAAGAAAGACATTGAAGTGCTGGAGCGTGTCCAGAGAAGGGCAACAAAGCTGGTGAAGGGTCTGGAGCACAGGTCTTATGAGGAGCAGCTGAGGGAACTGGTGTTGTTTAGTCTGGAGAAAAGGAGGCTGAGGGGAGACCTTATCACTTTCTACAACTATCTGAAAGGATGTTGTAGTGAAGGTGGGTGTCAGTCTCTTCTCCCAAGTTACAACTGATAGGACAAGAGGAAATGGGCTCTAGTTGCGCCAGGGGAGGTTTAGATTGGATATTAGGAAAAATTTCTTCACAGAAAGGGTAGTCAAGCATTGGAACAGGCTGCCCAGAGAGGTGGTGGAGTCACCATCCCTGGAGGTATTTAAAAGACATGTAGATGTGGCACTTAGGGACATGGTTTACTGGTAGACTTGGCAGTGTTAGGTTAATGGTTGGACTTGATCGATCTAAAGGGTCTTTTCCAACCTAAATGAGTCTATGATTCTATGATAGCTTGAGAAGTTGTTTTATGCTCCTCTAACTGTATGTGAATGGTCATTTTTCATTGCTGTTTAACACCAAAGGCAGGAACGAAACCAAACCCTTCTGTGCTTGTTTTCTCTCCGTTACAGAAACAGGAAGTGTGTGGAAACCTGACATTACAGCATCACATGCTTGAACCAGTGCAAAGGATTCCTCGTTATGAGCTTCTCCTAAAGGACTATTTAAAGAAACTTCCAGAAGAGTCTCCAGACAGGAAAGATGCTGAAAGTACATGTAAACTCCTCTCTGTCTAATGAGCACAGTAAAATCTTGGAGAGTTTTTTCTTCACATGTTCAGATACTTTCAACTAGGGTTACCATAGAAATGGAGATTTGAATTAATCAAATTATTGGCAAACATAGCACAAAGGGATTTTGAATACTTTTAGAGTAGAGAAGAAAAGGGTTGATATGTCAGCTGTAGGAACAAAGGGAGCTTTGGCAAATAAACAATGACAAAATATTGAAGTTTGTAATGGTAGAACATCTGGCATTTTTATATAATCCATTGTATGGGCAGGGACACATACAGGAGGACATCCTTGCAATAGCCGGAAGAAGAAAATAAGAATGGTCTTAAATGTATATGCTTGCCTAGGAAAGCAGGTTAGACTCTGTTAACACAAAGAAACAGGAGAAATGGACTTCTGTTGGTTTCTAGGCGTTTGTGATCTTGACCAAAACAGGGTTCACATTAGCATAAGCACACAAGCCCTGTTTTAGGAAAACATTCTTAAAAACATGCTTGTGAAGACCTAAGTGAGACTTAAGTTAACTTTTAGTAGATTGATTCCTAGGTGATTTTTTTTGTCACTATGTGCTTTGACTCACCTAGACATTTAGGAGGGAAAGGTTAAACATTTAGATGGACAAGGACAAGCTGAACATGCAGAAGTGATTGCGTATATAACTGCTTATAAGCGTTCCTTTTACTTTATAGAAGGAAAAAATACAGTCCTTGCTTTTGCAACAGCAATTTTGCAGGAAAAACATTAATCAGGGAGGTGAAAAAAAACCCCAAGGTGCTATTAACGGTTATGCATTCTCTAGATTATATCTGTTGCTACCTTTATTGCAGAGTCACTGGAGCTCATATCTACAGCAGCAAACCATTCGAATGCAGCCATCCGAAAGATGGTGAGTAGAAATTGCATAATTGTAATCTGACTGAAACACTTGGTTGAACCAATGGTCCCCCATTGCAATAGGCTCAGTAAAATAGGCTGGGGAGAATTTTCATATACAGTGAGTCAGGCTTTAAACATCATTGGATATCTAAGTTCTCTTTATCATAAATGATCATATTGCGGTTACCATGAATTGTTGGGCCTAAATTTCACTTGCCTTGTTCTTAAGGACCCAATGGGTTGAAAAAGGTGGTCTTCATAGAACTCATTGTTTGCTTTTCATTGAAAAATGTTGAAAGTATTCCAATTAGGTCCATTCATAAGGTGTCCTTGCAGATTTTCACGCTATTTTTTTAGTCCTACAGGTCTTCACCTGACTGGAGGTTGTTTTGGTTTGATTTTGGCTCATCTTAAATGCACAGAGTATGCATTTAGTGTGTGTCAGTAGTAGCTTTAGTAAGCTATACTTCTAAAGCTGGACAGTCTGAGACTGTGGAGATTTTGAACGTTAGCACATGCTTTACACACAGAGTTACCGTTAAAGTAAATGGACTTTATATTTACAGATGTTATCCCTTTTGTGCACCCAAGTGCCTCAGGAGCTTTTGTATCTAATGAAATGCTATGTATCCGGCTTAATGCTCACTGACCATTTGTGGGTACAAGGTTTCTGTCCCCTTCCATATCAGACCCTGACTTCCTTCTCCCGGCCGGTGGGGACACCATGAGACCACGTTGCCTGTGGCTGCTGTGGGGAAGTAACCAGATGATGTCTGTGTATTTTCAGTATGTCTCAGTGAAAACCAGTTTTGAAACCATCTATTTCTATTTCAGTCTAGCGTGTTCTCTTGATAAGGATATATTTTGGCAGAAATTCTTCTGATTTGGGGCCTTGAACAACTATTTTGCTGGGGACTGTGTACAGTACCTCCACAGACAGCAGGAACATGAAGCCACCAGCTAGTTGCTTTCTGCGTTGGATTCTTTTTCTGTTAGTACACAAAAACATATTAGAAAAGGCTGCTATAATAATTTCGCACCCCCTGTTTGTTGCTGATAAGAACCTCCTCTAATCAGGGCTTCTTACTGTGTTGAGTTCTTCTGTAATTAATAGGTTTTGCCTGAGCAGAGACTTGAAGGAAAAATATCCGAGTAAGAATTTCAGGTTTGACCTTGTGGTTTCCCAACTTGCATGTCCCAGCAGAAGATGCCGCAGGTGTGCTGGGGCAGTTGGTGAGGGTTGGTGGGGAGCAATGCAGTGCGAGAGCAGCACCGTCCTGCATGCACACCTCTGCAGAGCACCATGGGATGGCATGAATGGCTGTGTGAGGTCAGAGACAAACCAAAAGAAAAGCAAGGACTGTGGCAATATCTCCGAAAGTTAGTGGAGGTTTGAATTAATTGTTGGCTGCTTCCTCCTGTTGTGGTGTAGTAGAAAAAATAAATCATGTTTCCAAAGCTGACTTTTCCTAGAAGTGCAGATGTCCCTCAGGTTTTGGATCTGCTCTTAGTGTTCTAGTTTCTCCTTTAAAAAAAAAGCTTGAGAAGTTCACTGGTTTTTGTTTATTGTTTTTTAAATTAGTGGGATCTCTTGCTCATCTTCCCCTTTTTGTGGAAAAAAATCTACTGCCTTTTGGGGCTTAGGTGATTGATTTGCTCATTTGTTTTTAGTCCACAGCCCCCCACCTTCCATTTTGTTTTGCAGTGTGTTTATTTTAACCATTTGGTTTTGTTTAGGTCTTTTTGGTGGGGTTTTTTGGTTGTTCAGTTGTTTAATCATTGGTCAGAAGAATTTATTAGGCCAGGAACTGGTATGATGCACATTTGTGGTGGAAATTCTCAAGTCAAATGGGGGTAAACAAAGTGTGTGAAGACCTGAAATTCCAGCTTAATCTATAGAGAGGTAGAGGTATGATTTAGAGATGTGTTTGGGCATATATTTGGGTATAATTGCATAGATCTCTGTTCTCACTCTGTCCATTTGCTGACAGTGCCATTTGGAGCACATCAGTCCAGCTTGTGGTTGAAAGCCAAACCTTCACAAATGCTATAACTCAGTAGCAAGATTTACACACCTTTCTTATTTTGACTTGTTGAAGCTGCTGCAATGCTTAATATAGCAGCTGCGAGTGGGTGAACTAGTTACCTTTATCCATTTGAGTACTGTGTAGAGGAACTTTAATATTTGGATCACTTAATGTAAAGGAGAAACAGTGCTTTGCTGAAAAGGAAAAAGTAATCCCTTCATAAAGAGTTTTGACCCAGACATAAGGATGCCTGAATGACATGAAAACTGTACTTTAAGCATTTTGTCCTGGCCTGTTTCAGAGGTACTTTTTGCCATGGAGGCCCCTGCATAGGACTGCAGCATTCCCCATACAGCTGAGGTTTTAGACTTGGCTTAGAAATGCAGAATATGACCATGCTTCCTATCGGAGACCTACCTGCTATTGTATCAGCAACAATACAAGAGGTGAAACTTCTCAGAAGCTGCGAAACAATCATACTGTAGCAGAAATTGTAGTCTGAGATATGGGGTGGAAGCTGAGTTAATAAATTCAAACTTGGGAACAATTTGGTAACGTACTAGTCTTCAACGTGGCCATTGATTTTACTGGATCCAATGCCATTGCTTCCAAAGATACGTATTTATTGTTGAATTGGAATATCTGAAAATATCAAATAGATTGATCTCAAAATGTCATTAAAACAGTACAATCCAAGTATGACTAATGAGTGACTAATGCAGAGTGGGGAAGAGTACTGAAGTCTATGGAACAGGTATTCATTAATTTTTGAAAATGCAAAGCTATAGCAGAAGTGAAAGACTATTTTCTTTCCTACTTATTTACATTTACCCCAGAAATGGTACTGTGAGTAATAGAACAAGAGGAATAATTTTTTTTTTTTTTTTTTTTTTAAATTTAAATTGTTGGGGTTTTTGTACTTGCAGGAAAAGATGCACAAGCTTTTGGAAGTCTATGAGCGACTCGGTGGTGAAGAGGATATTGTTAACCCAGCCAATGAGCTCATTAAAGAAGGACACATTCAGAAACTTTCAGCAAAGAACGGCACAGCGCAGGATAGGTATTTATTCCTGGTGAGATCTTTTTTGTTGCTCTCTTATTTTCAGAGTTGTGCTGTGAAATGGTATATTTCCATCTTCCTGATCTCAAATACAAAAAGCATTCGACAACTGAGCCCAGCTACTCCTTCCTCTGAGCAGCCATTTTTTCTTGATGCTTTTTCCTTGAGGGTTTCCTTCCTTCTTCCACGCTTGTGCCTTTGCCAATGGCTTGTCAGGCCAAAAGGGGTCTTTTCCATTCTCTCTCCTCAGAGGCTGTGTTTTTCAAAGCACCCAAGGAGGTCTGTTTGCAGCTGTACCACCTTGCTGTGTAAGATGGCCTGCTCTAGCTGACGCTGAAAGAACAGCTCTCGTTTGCTTTCAAGGCGGTTGAATTGGTACCAGAGAGACGGGGAGAAGGGGGAAGTGACTGACTGACATGTTTCCGTCTGTCCACTTCTTTCAAGTAATGATATGTGAGCCTAGCTTGCTCCTTAAATCTCTTCTTGAGAACTGCATCTTAGAGTAAAACACACCAGAGTCATAAACTGTCAAAATGTAGGCTCTGTCCAGCATGTAATCCCTAAAGTTAAAATCTTCCCTTGTTACAGTTTAACAGCATGGTGCTATACTGTGTGCCAAAACTGAGGCTGATAGGCCAGAAGTTCAGTGTTCGAGAGAAGATGGACATTGCAGGACTGCAGGTTTGCATCTCTTTTTTTTCCCCCGTTTTAATGCTACCCCACTCGATGGCATCAGATCGCCTCTGAATCCAAAAATATAACAACAGATATATGTAGAAATATAGTAAAATTCTAAAATCCAGCTTTGGATCTCTTTTTTTCGGAATTATTATGAGGTAATCATCCAGTAAGAAAATGGTGAGTCTGTACACGCTTTGATTGAAAACCTTCACTTGTCACCTAGCTGACACAGGAGCCACCTTTTCACCCTACTGCTGTAGGGGACTGGTTGGTGATACAGATTCAGAAGTTTTGTAGCAAGGCGAGTAATTATGGAAACAATCCTTTGGTTTTTCTACCTCTGTACTGTATTCTGAGTGATCCTTTCAAATAAGTATTTCAAAGAATGGATGTATTTTTCAGTCATTAAAAATGATTGAAAGACAATGGAGGCTAGTAAGAAGCTGACCTGTTCTTTTTACAGGTCCAAGAAATTGCCAAGCAAAACATGGCTCATACATTTTCGATAACAGGAAAAAAAAGATCACTGGAACTGCAAGCCAGGTATGGGTGCTTGTTCTGTCTTTCGAGGTTTGTGAATATTTATGTAGAAATTTATGATCTAGGGGATATGGCTGTGGTAGTATGACATAGCTTTAAACCAGGAGATGAGCATCAGAGATGTGTAACTTACATATGCAAGACAATATGTTGGTTCTAAGTCAGAGTCAGTTAAAGTGCTGTGTTGATTTGCTTTATTGAATGCTTACAGTGTTTATAGCAGTGCTTGTAGGTTCCACTGTATTAATAATTCAAACATTTTTAGCAGTTGTTTGGTAATAATTGAGGTCAATAATTACTAATAATGTTTATAAAATAGTAGATACTAAAACGTTGATGGATATAAAGCTGTGAAGATGTGAATTGAATTTACTGAAAATATTGGAAGTAGAATTATGATGTTTTCTGTATTTCTCTTCTGTTTTAACAGGACAGAAGAGGAGAAGAGAGAATGGATTCAGGTTAATACAAAACCATTATGATATGGGTGGAAATCACCATGCAGTCAGCACCTTCTGTTTTTAAAATTACCTTTTTGGGGTTTTGATGGATGTGACTGTGCGAGGAAGCTGGGTAGTCCAGTCTGGTGAAGCTGCTTATGGAGAAATCTGGAGCCACAGTCAGGGTCCCACTGCTGATGCACTGTCTCCGGGCCGTGCACAGGTGCTTCAAATGGGTTGCCATTTCCTGCAGTCCTCAAGCCCAGCAAGAGAAGAGACTGAGGCATCAGATTAGCCTTGTATATTCTTGCAGTCTGACTTGTAGAGACACTGTCTGATAGCAGTCTTAGTTTTTAACTTAAATGGTAGTGAGTTAACAACACCACTTGTAGTTACTAAGTTTTTTAAGTTTCCATTTCATTTACGCAAGTGTAAGGGTTTTTCACTGGAATGATAATCCTAACCATCTTCCTATGAGAGAATTTTTCCAAGGCTCCTTTTGTGACGCTTCTCATCTTTGCTGCAATTTTTGTCTCAGGTCATTCAAGCAACAATTGAAAAGCACAAACAGAACAGTGAGACATTTAGAGCTTTCAATAGCTCTTTTTCTCAAGAGGAGGAGCATCTTCCTGATTCCTCAGTAAGTATGAGTGTTTAATTCTCCTTCTTTGCTATAACAGTTTTACCAACAGTTAAACTAGACTTACACAGCTAACTTTAAAATAGTGTAGTCTTGTTCTTGATTTTTTTATTACATTACGGTACAGTCAGCTCCATTTCTCTGGCTCTCAAATGCATATCAGTCATAGTTACTCAACCATGCAGGTATGGAATAAATTACCCAGGGTAATTCAGTGCAAGAGACCTATCAGTCATGTTTTCCAGACTAGTGGCTCATTTAGCATAACAGGTGTAATTCTTCAATGTTGTGAGTGGTGGCTGTCTGGAATGATGTTTGTGTGCCTGAAAGATTTTGTTCATTACCTTTCCCCATATCCTCAGAGATGCATTTTGGGATTTTTTTTTTTTCTTATTTTATTATTATTTAGAAAGTTCTAAAGAGTTGAAAGGAAATTGATGCATTTTAAAAGGATCTTAAAAATACTGTCTTATGGATAATAAATGTATTGCTCTCTGCTGTGTTTGCTAAGAATTTTGGTTTGGAAGTATTCACATGAGGATGATAACAATATCTCTTAATTAGACACGAAAATGATGATGATAACCTTAGCCACAGTCATTTGCTACAAGCTAAAAAGGAGAGGGCCTGGGAGAGGGAAATTTTCAGGAATTTCACACAGCTGCCTGTGTGTTGATGATGTCAGTGGTCAAACATGGTAGATCTTGGAGCACAGGGAGAGAAGGTCTGTCTGCAGAGATGAAACTTGGCGATCTTTTATCTTCCCCCTCCCCTGCCCTCCTAAACTTTTTTTTTTTTGTTGGTACCTAACCATTTTTGAAACATCTCCTTTCCCAGATCTGATTCAGTGGCTCAGTAATGCTGGATTTTTATCTGACTTGATTACCCAAGGGGCTTGGGGGAGATGTTAGGTATTCCTTTCATCCCAGCATTAATTAGACTGACAGCAGAGATCTTCACAAAATTCCACAGAGTCTAGGATCCTGTTGCTGATAGCAGCCAGCAATGAGCCATTTTCAGAACATGGCATAGCTTACTGATCATGAACTATTCATCAGCTAAAAATACTTGGAAAAAATTGGAAAATAATCAGTTCATGCCTATATTTTTAAGTTAACTCATGGCTGTCTTCAGAACCAGGATGCTCTGGTGGGAAAAAATCTTTTGCTAATAAGCAAGCTAATAAGCACACTTCTTTCTATCCAATTAAGACACAGTGTTTGTTCAACTTCATTGTTGTTATCTTGCTTTGTAAATTCCATTTGATTTTGCTTCTGTGTTAATGGTGTAGCCACAAGTTTATATTCTACTGGTTCATCAAAGTCAAGCAGAGCAGAAGTCTGGTAACCAGTCTCCTGGCTGTGATATTAATGCAGTATGCACCTTAATTTCTTTTATGCCAGAATGCTAACCTGTATTTTTAGGAGATTAGCTTATCTAGAGAATCAGCTCTGAAGGCTGATGTCATGGCTAAATGTGGCAGAAATTGCTGTCAGTTAAAAAGAGCTGAAGGTATTTCTGTAAGGAAAACCTGGTCAGATACTGAGAGTGTTCTTAGTAGCAATTACCTACTGTAGGCAGCATCCACCATACATATCTCATCATCTTCATGGAATATTGGGCAGTGTGCTTTAGAGGAAAAAATTATAATAATCTTCCTTTTTTACTCTCATGAGTCAAGAAATAGATATGCACTCATGGATTCTGGGCTGGATCTGTAACAGCTACTAGAAATTGGACTCTGGTTCTAATAAGCCTGAAGAAAAATAGCCAAATTGCTTTTCTCCCATCATTGGCCATGCATTGGATATGTTGCAGTGCTTATGAGTGATTACAGTTGCATGACCAGTGCATGCCTTTGCACACAATTCTTAACATGCTTTTGTTTTCCTTGCTGACTTACATAAGCTCATACAAGCATTAAGGGTTGATGCCTGTCATTTGCCTACAGAAGACTTGCTGTTTCTTGGAGGTGCAGAGAGCTGACATTGAGCTGATTCTTAAGATTATGCCTGTGCAGTAATCTACAGCAATTAATAAATACCCACCTGTCAGGAGGTGAATATTCAAAGTCATTGCCAGTCAGTGCCCTGCAGGGTGACTGTAGCCGTGGTCTTTTAAAGAAATCTTTTCAGAAAGCTTCAGGTTCCCTTTGTGGCTTAGTTCCTTCAGAAAGAGGACACTTGTTTCCCTGTTTTCCATTTTCATCTGCAGCATTTCAAGGCTATGTGAAGGTTTTTTTAAAAGCCATCTAAAAATGTTCCCAAGGAATAGGGCCTCTTTTACCACTGCTTGATCTCAGAAGAGTTGGAGGCTCGTGGTGTGGGGGAAGGACCCATTTTGTGCATTATTAGAAGGCTGGCAAGGAAAAGTGCCACAGAGAGCTGAGCTCTGCAGAAGTGGCATCCCTAAGATTTGAGAGTTCGGAGCACTTCTGTTAGTTAGATCATGATTTTTAGATCCTGTTAAATCATCATTATTTCCGACCCCCATTTCTGTTCTTCCCCTTACCTCTGGAGTAGTTCTGACAAACATGAATAACTGTCTTCCTCCATACCACATCTTACACACTTTTAGTGGTAATGGTAACATAAGGAGGAGAAGCCCTTTTGAAATCTTTTCCAGGTTAAGAGTAGAGGGTATTTGATTTTAGCACGTTAGTGCAAATAAATATTAAAAGGGCATAAAGATCTGAACAGACAACTGAGAAATTTATTCTTTTCCCTAAACTTGCTGGGGTTTTCTTGATCTCTTCTTCAGACCCCATTTTCTCTCTTTACATTTTTCATTTCCTTTCCCAAGTCCTGTGTCACAGCACACAGATGTCCTTTTACTAGGCAGAGGGATCTAAATATTTGGGTTGATTAGGATTCCAGTGGAAAGAAACCCCTTTCCACAGGACTGGGGAATAGGTGATGTGAAGACCCTAGGGTTGTTGGGTTCTTGCAGAGGCAGAGATAGTTGGCTAGAGTTGAGTACATGATGCTTCCCTTTAAGTTGCTGTCGTGGTTCAGTAACTAAGCCAGCAACTAAGCACCACGCAGCTGCTTGCTCACTCCCCCTGCCCTGGTGGGATGGGGGAGAGAATCGGCAGAGGAACTGGGTTGAGATAAGAACAGTTTAATAACCGAAATAAAATTAAGTAAAATAGTAGTAGTAATAATAACAGTATAATAATAACAGTAATAATAATGTACAAAGCAAGTGATGCGCAATGCAATTGCTCACCACCCACTGACCGATACCCAGACAGTTCCCAAGCAGTGATTGCTGCCCCCCGGCCAACTCCCCCCAGCTTATATACTGAGCCTGACGTCATATGGTATGGAATAGCCCTTTGGGCCAGTTTGGATCAACTATTCTGGCTGTGCCCCCGCCCAGTTTCTTGTGCACAGCATGGGAAGCTGAAAAGTCCTTGACTAGCATAAGCAGTACTTAGCAACACCTAAAACATTAGTGTGTTATCAACATGATTCTCACCCTAAATCCAAAACACAGCACTATGCCTGCTACTAGGAAGAAAATTAACTCTATCCCAGCTGAAACCAGGATAGTTGCATTCCCTGAGGAAGTGCTCTGGGGGTGGCACAGCCATAGTCCCAGGGGATGCATTTGCTCATTTACTTGTTCTCAAGAGTAGATTGATTGTATTAGTATATAAATAGATACAACTAGGTATCAGAATGAATAGCTCTTCAGTTTGGACGCTTACTCAAAGCTACAGTTCAGGTTGTTTCTAATAACAGAGATTAAAACTTTTTCTTTTCAAATGGAAAGAAGCTGGAATGCAAAAATGCACTGGAGATTTGGCTAACCTCGAAATATGAGATGTTGTCTAATTAGCAAAGGAAGAATGATCTATGAGATTAACAGGAGAATTTATCATAAAGAGTCTAATATTTTGAGAACCCTCTGTAAACTAGCAAATTCCCTGTAAATTAATGACAGATGAAATGGTTTTCCTTTTAGGACGTAGCCTATGATTTTGATGTACATAAGCTTGTTGTTTGCCCTCTATATGTGTTGAATACATATAGGTGCCAGTTTGCATTTATTAAGAGATTAAGAGATGTATTGCAATTAAGAAGAATTTAACTGAGTACTATTTGAATGGAGTAAATATTCTTCCTCCTCAGAATCCACTGACTACACAAAGCACTTGCTTGTTTGGCTTGCAGGGCTCAGATGGAGTGGTGTAATTCAAAACCTGCCAGTTTGCTTTCTGCAGTGCTTATGGGGGATAGGCACACACTACAGCGAAAGGCAGGCTTGGCAATGCAGTGCTGTCTGTAAAGTCACCCACTTCATAGTCAACCCAGTATTTGAGGCTGGCTGAGTATATGTGCAATTAAAGTGTATTCACAAGCAAACAGTTGAGGCAAATGAGGCCATGTTTTCTTTTTCAGTGTTTAATATATTTTAGAAAGAATGTCCGTGTTGAAATTGTTCTGTGTCGTTCTGTTTCTCTCAGACAGCAAGCACCAGCTCGGTGGAATCAATGCCAGGAGCAGATGGTGGCGGTGCATTTGGAGGCGTAAGTAATTTGAAGCTAGCACATTCGGTACAAGGTGTGTGTGGGGGATATGTTTCTTTTGTAGCAGGAGAAAAAAAATCAGGTATTTCAGTATATCGGTTTATATTCTGCTGTCTTTTGCTTCAGCTGTGCTGTCCTTCACTTCTTGGCTAAGTTACACCCACAGCTACTTCCAGAATCTGCACCAGCAGTGAATTTAAATCCTCCTGTTCCAGATACATTCTGCACATGTGTGTGAACCTAGTTATAGGGAACTTAGCTGGAGGGAAGTTGGTTGTTACATTTGTAGCATTGGGGGTTTTTTGGTGGGTTTTTTTGTTTGTTTTTAAATTCTGATAGGAAGCTACACTGAATGCTTGGGGGGAGGAGGGCAAAGAGAGACAAGGAAACCTGGCTGGTTAGTACTGTCATATTGTGTAACTCAGGATTTCATCTCCAGAACCAAATTTTGATTAACACTTCTTTCATAGCATACTTTTCGTGTTTCTGCCAATACAGAGGAGGAGATGATAGTACTTCCATACATCTGGGGCCTGTAAGTGATTGGCTGCTGCAAAAGCAAAATACACTTTTAAAGATATTTTTCATTTTGCTCTGTACAACATCTGTGACTGCTGCCTAGTCAAACCAGAGATTTTGAGTCCTTAATAAGGTCTGGTTTTTAGCATTCTTATCTCTCACTTCTAAAATGTCTTCTGAGAATAACAGATTTTCAGGAAATACCTTAGGTTCAGCTGAGTTTACTGAAAAAAGACCCAACAAGAAGAAACAACAACAACCAAAAAACCCATTAGCTGCTGACACATACTATAGGGTATTATGCGTTAGCATGACCTTCTTAATAACAAAGGAGCCACTTAGCAGGCTCTTCCAGACCTCTGGCCAAGCTTGTAACCTACTGGTAGAGTTTACAGAGTATCAATGAAAAGCTGTTAAACAAGCCAGCAACCTGACCTATACAAACAAGAGCTTATTAAAAATAAGTGTTTGTAATTCATGTACTCCTTGCTGTTTATTGTTTGTTCACACTTCATATTTTCCCTAAGCAATTTTTTATGTATTTGTAGTCAGTTTTGCAATTAGTGCCCCTGTTCCTTGAGTTACAGATACTATAGTGAGGTAGCTACTTAATGAAAAAAATGCTTTATATAGCATTTAAAGACAAACACAGAAAAAATTCTGTTGGTCTTAAGTTTCTTAGGGAAATGTAAATTTTAGTTGTAATTAAATAAAAAAAAGTAGGTCTTTTTAGTTGATTATAACTAGTTGTGTCAGTGATTTGCCTAGTATATCTTGACACAATAAGTAATTTTCCTTAAGCTGTGTATTTAAAGAAAAATTTAATTCCTGAGATAGAAATAAAAATGGAGTTGATCAAAACCACAAAGCTAAAAATACCCAAAATTGTGTATTATTGATTCTGGGATCTCATTCTGCTGTATTGTAGCAAATGGATAACATCAGCATGAGCAGTGAATTCAGATGTTAGTTACAGCGTTAGAAAAGAGTAATTTTTAATGATGACATCCCTTTAGAAACATCTCAGTGAGTCCATGAGCAGCTTCCACATGCAAACCACTTGGTGGTGGTGGTGGTCAGCAAACTAATACCTCCTTCCTGTGGTTCTGCTGAGTCTCCTGAATGCCTGCTGGGGTCTTCTTCAGTGTTGCACGTTAGCATACCCACACAGTGAAGACCTACTGCAGGAAGTATAATCTGCTTGCTGTACAGCATTGTGGTAACTGTTTGCTGCACTGCACTGCTAGCATATATGCTCAATGTTCTGCGTGCACAAGGAAAGTACAAGCCAGTGGAAGATTGTCTTGCATGTAACCTTTCATGTATGACATTGGCATATAGAGAAACTTTCTAAACAATTTTGCTGCATTACAAAGTACAAAATATACTATAGAATTTAAATTAATTTTTCACATAGATGCAGCATTTCCAGAAGCACCTGCTGACGTTCTGCCCCATTGCAGGTGTCTCCAGATACGTAATTTGTAAATGGAAAATACACAGCTGTATAAGCATAATGAGAAGAAAAAGATTTGAAACCCCTTTGTTGGTCTTGCGTCTGCCCGTGTAAGAGTCTCATCAGACTGCGTGTATATTGTGTGTACAGCATTGAGGCTTAATTTCTACCTCCTGGCCCAGACAGAATGAAATATATAGCAAGTAATAATTAACAGAACAACAATGAGCCCATTGGTTTTCTTGCTGTTCCTACCAGCTCTTCAGTGTTTCTTCCTGGCTTTTCAGAAGCAAATGGAGGCTCCAGTGGTTCACTAATGATGAGAGGTCTCCTTTCCTAAGCAGTCCAGCCACAGGCCTTCACCTTGCAGTCGCTTAGCTGTAGGTGTGAGTTGTACCTCTTGCTGGGGTATACGTTCTTTTTCCACCAAAATTTTAAAGTTTGAGGAAACGGTCAAGATTTAGAGAGTTAAATGCAGCTGTAGAGTAAAAGCAAATTAGTGGTCAAAACAGCTCAGTCTGAAAGAAGTTGTTGTAGATCCTGACTCTGAACAGGTTTTATGTAAGTGTTTTTTTCCTGTCAGATCCACCAGCTTCAAAACAGAGCTGGGTACACCTAGAAAGATGAGAAATATGACAATTATTCAAGTGCATTAGTATTAAGATATTCTAGTTGAAGCTAGGGCTGCTTTGTATTAGCCTCCCTCTTAACATACACCAACAGTAAATAACACAGCTTGTGTAATAAAGGACACAGTTGCAAAGTGACTGTTAAATTTATCTTTACTGAACAATGTTTGTGAATTACAATGCATGTCCTTGTTTTCTAGAAAAACTTCTCTGTTCAGATGGTGTATAGTTAAGAGTACCTGGCAATGTCAACTTCCTGAGCCATCTCTGGGTGGGATGGGGGGACTGCCCATGCAGCAATGTCTCATGGTTTTCACAGGGATGGGAAGCAAAGGGCTTCTTAATTCTTTCCCAGTGTCAGCAGTCAAATAACATAATATTGAACAAGTCTTTCTTTTATAATTGCTCATTGGAATTTGCCAAGTCATAAAGAAATACGTTTTCATTTTTATTATGTTTTCTACAGCTGCAATAGCAATGTTTCAAACTCTTGTGTTCTCACTGTATTCTCATAATGTTGAGAAACATTATGAAACATTGCTGGTATTTGTCAAACACTTAAAGACCTCTTTATACAGGGCCTTTTTTGATTAGTGAAGTTAGTATTAAATGTTTGTTGTATGCTACAGAACAAATTAAAATATAATGGTCTAAAATAAAAGCTCACACATAACTGTCATAACAAATCTTGCCCAATATAAAACCCTTTCTACTTTCTTTCCTTTGTCAAATATATGGGTCATGTTGAAAGTGAACACTATCCAGACTGTTTCACATTGAGGAAGAAGTCAAATGCAAGATCCATTAGAGGAAGTATTCAACGTGAGTCTTATCTGTGTAATAGAAACATGCATGTGGGTGATGATGGATATTCCTGTTGAAGTACAAATCAAATTAACCAATTTCCACATGCAGCAGTCCATTCAATTCATGTTAGAGGAACTTCAGCATTTTTTCTACGCAGGCACATGTAGGTATCGATTGCAAGACAAAAACTGGTTTTGTTTAGCATTCGTCAAGATTGTCTTCCAGTCACAGCTCACAAGGCTAAATGGTGCCTTCATTTATGCTCTTGCCATTCCAGTTACACTAGTGAAATTATTGTTAACATAAGAATCAAAAGGCTTGTTATGCTATATGCAAATTTTAACTATTAAGAAGAGAAAAAATAAGGTTGACCAGTGAGGAAATGCTCGGTCTAACAACTTAAGGGGAATCCATCCCTAGCCAGTGGAAGGAAAATCAGTCTTCTAAAAAATTAAATAGCATTAGCATCAAAATCAGAGTGAGAAACAGCTGACTTTAGCCAATATATGGGATATGAATAACAAAGTTACTCTGTACATTGCTGCTGATCAATAAAAGCATTTCGAATTGCCTTAATTATACACCTAACTTGGAGGGGTCTAACAGAGTCTGAAAGGAACGTTTTTGCCAATGATTCATCCAAGGCATTGTTCAGTTGTAATTCAATGTTGTACTGGTGTTGTACTGGTTACATCTGGTTCTTCACAAGAAATGTGAAATACTGCACTCTGCTTATGTGTGGGTGAGGACTTGGATTTGCAGACATTCTGTTTTGCTGAGTACTTTATATATACGTATATGGGGGTATAGTGATTTTCCTGAATGAACAAATCCGTATGACTGCTTCACCAAGCTGAATTGCAAAACATCCTGTGTACTTGTATACGAGTTTGAAACATTGCTATTGCAGCTATAGAAAAGATAATAAAAATTAAAAGATCCAATCCAGTTAGAAGTAATTAGTTGTGGTGGTGGTGTGTAATGCCATTGCAAGGCAGGGTGGTTTCAGTAGCTCTGCTGAAAGACAATGTGCTTTCCTTTGTAACCAGGGAATGGCAGGGCAGAGACTCAAGGAGGCTGAAAGATGGGAGAGTGGTGTCAGGTTATAAAGTTTGATTTTTTTTTTTTCTTTTTTAATTGGCCTGAAAACCTGTGTTAGTGACTTCTGCAGGTTAGTTGTAACCACTAAGGTGAGACCTTAGGGCAAATGGCAGAATTTCCCTAGTGCTGGTGACACCTGCCTGGTGATCCAGGTGATCCTCTGCAAATTGTAATTGCTTCTGCCTTTCCTCCCACCCCCACATGCCCACATCCTTGTTTTAAATAAAGGCTTTAAAGAAGGGGAAATTTGTTGAACCAATTCTTCTCTCTCAAGCAGAACTAAGTTGTTATTTAGTGTACACTCAGTTTAAAGGGAAGGGGATGTTGTCAAGGAGTCCAGAATCTGTGTAACCTATGATTGGCCAGATCTTCACCTGGTTGATTTTCAGAAAAAATGTAAAATACCTCTGCTCTTTTGATTTAGAGGAAATGTTTCTTCTCCCAGTAGTTTGTTAAATGATTGTGTCAAGCAAATGAAAATGAAGAGA